GCCGTCCTGAGTCCTTTTGGCTTTTCTTTACTGGCTACGAATAGTATTTATCATTATCAGTCTTCCGAAGTGCATCCTCTGAGAGGTGCGCTTAATTGATTGAGTACGCGCCGATGGTCTCATGACAAATAACCAAAATAAACACAGAGACAAAATAGAAATAAAAAATATTCTCACGGAGACAATAACGACGCAAAAAACACTTGTAATGCATTTTATCCACTCTTACAATGTAATAACAGTAATAGTAATATAAAAAAACTAAAATCAACCAAGTTGACATTTGCAAGTAAAAATACCAGTCGTACATCGCCGAAAACACCAATTCGAAAACTCGTCCACGCGTGAGTATCTGATTTAACATGAATTATAAAACAAGAGTTATGTGCCACACGAAAAAAACATGCTGTCTAACACAATCAAAAAGCGAGTGCATCATGTGAGCGCGCGTAGTGCAGCATAAATTTTAGATAGAAATGCCATGCAGATTGTGTTTTTCCGAGGCCGTCCGTCAGTATTCGATCCAGAATTGATCCTGCGTTTCCTGCACATTACACGCTCGATACGCGCGCCGATGCAAAGTATTATTTGTAAAACACAATCGCGCGCATTTGGATAAATTTTAATTTAAATATTTATGATGAAAGCGACCGCCGACGCGCGTTTTAATGTTGCTGGGCTAATAGATAGATTGTATCCGTGCGCGGATGTATCGCCATCGCCGCGCTTTTCCATCGACGGCTGATGGCGCATCGCGATATACACATAAATCCATTCGATTTTATTATTTTGTTGTTTGGAAAGTTTCAATTTATTTGTTGGTTTCTGGCTCAATTTTCCACTAGCTGGCGGATCAATAAAAGTGCATTGTGTGCGGGTGGTTTCACTCTGAGCGATTTTACGTAATTAATTCGAAATTTACAAATATCGTTCAAAAATTGCCATTGAACAAAGTAGTTAATTAATAGACAGTTTAAATGCAATTAATTAATTAATTTAACAGCTATTAACAGGTTAACAAATTAAAAAATACATGATAAGACATTAATGCAAGTTTATTTTGCATTCACAAAATTTTTATTACAAAAATACGAGTTTTTATCTTGCTAAATAAACACAAAATTTGCATTGCTGTTGATTTGTATGGTTTTATCCTGGACATGCATATAAAATAAGAATTACTTTTCATTATCGTAAAAGCTTTGCAGATGCACTATGCGTTTGGTGTGCATGTGTCATTCCCTTTTATTTATACACATAATAAAAATACGTGATGCACATAAACACACGTTTTTAACATTCAAAAAAAATCTCAATTTTTCTATAGAACACCAAAATGAGATTTTTAAATTAAAAAAAAACGAAAAAGTTGAAACACATTTTTTAAATATCAAAATTTAGTAACTATTAATCACTGAATAATTAAAACGCAGCTATAAACAAAATATTGCTAAATATTCCATGCAATGAACTTGTTTCTGGCGCCATCTAGAAAACAATACACCCTCATACATCATTTTATTCGATTATCTCTATAAACACAACTTGAAGGATCTTTACTCCCAGCGGATCGAATTAGTTTTCAAAACTAAGCCACAAACATATCGGGGTTGTCAATGGCTAGAAAATGGACATTGAAATAGACAACTTGAAAGCAGGGCAATCCCAAAATACCCCAAGTTGCGGTTTTGCCCCGATGGACTAGTCATTTATTATTCGCATTCGCACTAAACCAAAAAGCTGGCTGGTTGCGCCGACTTTGACTTCATCAACAAACCAATCACATTAACAGCGCATCATCTCATATTAGCCTAGGTCTCGAATAAAATTGATAAAATATCAAAGCTCAACATCAAACACCCTATGTGATTGATTACAGTCTTATAGTTACCTCTATACATTAGAAAATCACTGCGTTAATTTCGTCGAACGATGTTCCATGTTAATACCGAGCTATTTGCAGGGACATTAGTTGGGAAATAAAATAAATGTTCCGACTTCCGCCTATGGGCAATGGGATATAGGCTATAGTATAACCGTTTACCTTGTGTTGGCTTCCGAACGCGTTTTATACGTTAGGGATTGTGTGATAAAACTTTATTCCAATTATACCCACGATGTTTGCTGCCCCGAGGCGGTGCAAGTCCATGTGGATGGGGGCTGCTAGCTCTTAAAACTATTCCTAGCGCAGTGGTAGTTTTTATGGTCCATTCGAGTTTAATATCTTCGAAAATTTATTATTTGCATTCCTATAACTGTGTTTTTAATGTCGTCAACGATTATAAAAATAAAGTTGCGACAAAACTCACTTAACACAACAAAAAACATTTTTTTACTTTATAATTTTATTTTAAATGTTTATAAGATGAAAATATGAACATGAATTCATTAAGTTTTATGTAGAAAAAAATATGACTACATGTAGAATGTCCGGAAACAATCTTGGGTCTATGTAAAATCAAATCGCTGAATAATTTTCCACTTTACTATCTTTGCATGCATACTTTATTGAATAAATTACGGCCGCGATGCGGTGCCGTAATAAGAATGATTTATGTGGTTCTGTCGTTCAATTCAGGAGGCGTTTAACGACGCCACATAAAACCTGCCGGCCGCCGCCAGTATCAAAACCCTAAACGAATGTCTCTCATCTACTTCGAAAACTTACGCTCGTAATGCTAAAACCTTGTAAATATGCACTTGTCATGTCTGTATGAATCGCGCGCTGAAAAAATTCTAGTACCAATATTAAGCCATCAAACCGTAAATTTGTTTAATATGTTTAAGGATGAAATTATGCTCGATATTAAACATAATGATAGCAATTCGTATCTGGCAACTTCGAGAAGCGGAGCGTAAGCAAAACAAGAGTCCTTTCCTTCGACGTTTGCGTTTTTAATATTTTATGAAGCGCGAGGTGCTCGATGCTCGACGCCTCAACAAGCATCCCGCGTGTTTTCTGGCAAAATATTTGCTGCGAGGGCTGCGGCTGGATGACGAGCCCGCTTTATGGATACACTGTTTACCGTTAAACTACCCTAATTATTCACTCCGGTTTAGCATAATTGGGCGATGTTTAAAAAACACGTTTCGGGCATTACACGGCAAATTTTACCGGAAAAAATGTTCCCTAGGCGCATCCAACCTTCAGGTATACATTTATCACGGTAGATTTACAAGTAACTTGGAAGGAAGTAAAAAAACGAGGAAGATTTTTAATGTCTTCAACATATTTGTGAAACATTTTTTTGTTTTCTCAAAAAGACCAAGTAAACCTTGATAACATAATGATTTTGTGATTTATGTGTTCTGACCTTCAGTGGGAAGTGGTTTTGACTCTAGTCACTTTGTGTTGGTTTCCGGTCCTGTTCAAGTTAGCCAAATTGTAACTGAAAAGCGTCCGTAATTTAATCAAACCTCAAACCTTGTGGTTCCTTAACAAGCGTTTTGTTTGTTGTCGCAATTCACTGAAATCACCAAAAGTTGACTAACACCAAAAAAGACACATGCACTGATCCGGATCTTGATGTGTGTATGCATCGGGCAGGTGCAGTAGTAGCTCATTAACACACTCCATTAAATTAAACTGCACTCTAGGAAATGAAGCAAATGCGCACACGCCGGAATATCAACTAACCATGTATAATGTCCACATTTCGAAATGCACATCAGCGCCGCCGGCTTAATCCCGAGGCACGAAACCTGAAAATCAATTTGAGCGCAGCCACGCATCCGCACTGTGATGACACTGTAAATGACAATTTGGACGTGTGATAAAAAGTGAGCAAGTGGGCAAATAAAACACGTCCGCGCACGCGACTGCAAATAATTGAGTAATCAGCGTGTTGACGCGTAGCAAACGCGCACGAGTTATAATCGGGAGCAAATATGCTCTTGTGTGATAAGTGTCGGCACAGACCAATTCGCTTTGTGCGCGCCCGGTGCGTGTTTAATAACGCGCGCACATAATTAATTATATCGCCGCAAAACGACAACAGCAGCGTATGTGTGGGTGTGTGCATTGTGCGTACAAACTTTGCATACGCACCCGGGGATGATGGCCAGGTAGAGCGGATTGAACTTTTGCTAGATCAACACATTTATCGTTTTCGGCAACGTGTGCACTTTTTGTTCTGTTTGCTTTTAATTAATACTCGAAAGCGTGTTTTTTGTGTTTGGATTTATTAACACTACAAAATATATTTCTAGGATTTTTTGATTAAGAATAGTGTCAAAAAATCATCGTTTTTTTAACCACTATTGAATAAAAATTAAAATTTAATGCCAGCAGTTAAGATTTTCATATCACAAAATAATAAAATCCCCTTTGATGGCTTGCTATTTGAGCTCACCCCACCGAAATGAAAATATGAAAAAATAAACGAAACAACACAATAAAAACAACTATAAACTTAATTACGACAAAGTCGCGAGTCGCGGTAACCTAATAGAAACGCCGTGGCAGTTTATAACGCCATGGCAATAAAATAAAACGCCAGAATGTTAAATCGATACACAGCAAACATACGAATGTCGCGAACATCCCGCCCAACGATTGCAAACGAACACAAAAACGCAAAAATGAAGCATAAATGCAAGAGACGCATATGTCGGAACAAAAACAGACGACACTTTTGAATCTTTGATTAATCATAGAAAATCTCATCTACATTCTACATCGCAATGGGTTTGCCTGCGGGGCTTGTGTGCGCGCGTAACATGTCCAGCACGCATTAAGCACTCTCGTGCGGTGCATTAAGAATTTCCGCATTTCCGTCGACGCCGGCGAACGCATTTACATAAATGCATTGGTTTTTCTCTCTTTTTTTCTATTTTTTACACTGACGTTTAAATTTATTTGTACGCCCGAATGTACCAGCATGATTTTTTACATTATTTTCTTTTTCTCCGGCTGATATCGGACATTAAAATGTAATTAGTGTTTTGAATAATCGTGAACTGCTTGTAAATTTATTAAATTTTGTGTCGTTACTTTGCAGAAAATCCAAAGTTCAGTGAGCCCATTACTAATGTCACCGTCGCCGTTGGAAGGGAGGCTATCATGGCATGTCTTGTCGAAGATTTGGGCCAGTACAAAGTGAGTGTCGAAAAACTTTTAAGCACAGAACTCAGCGAAACTCGCTAATATTTTACTTTAATTTAGTTATTCACTTTTCGTCGTATTAAATGTGATATTAAGCACTTACTTAATTAAAATTAAAGTTAATTCAAAAATTAATTTAATTTCCGAGTGTACCCTCACGTTAATTAGAGTATAACTCAAAGATTGAAATCTTTGTTCATGAAACTTAACGTAAAATGTAAACGTAACAATGACTGCGTATAATCCATATGAAAATATTTGAAATACTCCCACAAAATTTTAATTTTAGAAATTAAATTTTCTCTAGACATAATAATAATAATAATTTGTATAAAAATGAACCAAAACAAATGGTTTTTATTAAATTATCACAAAAAAGTATCAAAATATTAGTTTTGCAGCCATAACAAAATTTGACCCTTAATTCGTTTAGGTTTTATGTTGTATTTTTTTTCTCTCTTGTTGTTTGTATAGTATAGATTACGAGATTAGGTACGCACAGTGCGCGCAGGATTCGAAATTGTTTGCGTTTCCCTTTCATCACACAATTACCACGTAAGCGCGATTTCAATTTAAGTTTACAAATGGGAGTTGCGTAATTATGAGGGCTCTATTTCTTGCTCCCTGCCGCCACGACTGATGGAAAACTCCGTATTTATGATTCCGCGGTATGCACGTGCACGTCTGGAAAAGCGACGCGTGGCATTTTAATATAATAAGCAGCCAAATGAAATATACAACGCGGAAAACGCGAATGCGCTGAGCACGCGTGTTTCCACCTGTATTTTAATTAATATTTAATTGTGTCGAGATTGTTTATCAATTCGTTAAATTCCCACTTGAGCAAGGGTGGAATGTTAGACTGAGAAATGCGTACCTGAGGCATTTTTGGAGTAAAGCAACGTTGTAACGCTCTACCAAAATTGTTGATATAGGTTGATATTATTTATGAAAATCTAAAATGAATTTATATTGTTTACATATTTAGTTTTGCGCATTCATGTCGCACTGCGCACTATTCCCTGACATAAAACTAGAGCTTTCAGCACAGGTGTTAAATATTGTGGTGTCTTCGTTCTTCTGCGTAGCAAACTTTAACATAATCTGCTTACTAAACACACACAAACTTACAAGCACACAAGTAGGTGTGATTTAACGCAATAAATTCGACGCAAAATCACTTTTGCAAACACAAACACCTAACCCAACCTTTGCACGCAGTGTTTTTGCCATTATTTAGTGCTTATTTTATCAGCGGGTTTATACATAGTGAAACAGGTTGGTAATCTGCGAATTGGAACAAACGAATGAATAGATTTATCGAAGCTGACTTATTTGTATGCGTTCGGATTTGTTCGCGCCGAAATCGTGTGCAAAATTGTTTGTAATCAACATGGAGTAATAAAGAGTGGTTAGGTTGAATATTTATTGCTGCACACAATTATTTGTAGGTAAATTGTAAATATTTCAATTTTTCAATTTTTTTTATTTACTGACATAGTATAACTAAAACTTAATATTTACACTGCATGGGTGTTAATGATAGAAGATGTCATCGTGTTATCCAATTCTACGTTTACCTGAGATAACTCATACTTTCTCATATTTCAAATACAGCGACAGCAAGAAAATCTGAAGACACCGACAGCGTGCCGCAGCGTTGTTAAGCGCATTTCATTTTTCAGTCAGAAAAATAGATGGAACTCGCTGTAAATGCACTTTATCAGATATGCAAATCTCGTTAGCTTGAATGTTTTGAATTTGAATTTAAATACGTGGTTGCCGTTTCGCGCACATTGCTGTCTATATTTTTGCTTATTACCGAGTCTCTGCTTCGGCGTTTGAGGTTTTCCTATTCGGATTTCTGCTTTTACTAAATTTACACTGTTCTCCTGGCTTCAGATTTACCATTATGCAAAGGTGTTATATCCGTGCTAGTTTAAATTTAAGTTTTAGCTATACTGCACCACAACAAAATGTTTAAATATCACATAATAAATAAAATATCGAGACACCTGCAAAATATTTATTATTTTGTTACTGTTGTATTTTTATATTTCTCGGTTTGGTCGCAAACTCTAGTAGACCTCTTTTCCTGCGCGCACATTTTTTCACATTTGCTCAATTCTTTAGTTTATATGCATATTTCATTGTTTGTGAATAGTTGTAATAAATAAATTGTTTCGGTGCGCAACCCTCCACTCGGGACGCATAAAAAACGCGAATTGTTTTCCGTTCTCTTTATATTTTCCGCTCCACTCCGGAGCTGGCTTATTTTGTTTTATTTGCGCCGGTGCCCACGTAGCCGCAGCGTTTTATGTAACATTTCCAGGTTTTCCCGTGGACGCACCCCGCGCTTTTCTTATTTTTCTTACTCACTATACTACACGCCGTTGTCTCTTTTTCGGTGTATGTTGTCACTGGTCTTACCTTCATTCTGGTACTAGGGTTATTCGAATACGAGGTTGTAAAAAAGTCTTCTTTACTCATACACAAAGAGTATTTGGTTATATTGATCCACAAAACATAATAAATATAATTAAATAAATGTAAAATCTTCGAATCCACCTTCAGATTACTTAAAAAATAGTTAAATCTACAAAAAATTATGTTTAATTCTATGTAGGGTTTTATCAAATTAATTTGTTTAGTTTCGTGACACTTTGTATAGTTGTCAATTTATATTTGTGCCTTTTCATTGCATGTAGCAGAAGAAGAGACGCGGAACACAAGAAACGTCTTGTCAAATATCCCTTCAATAAAAAAACTCGCAATAAAAACGAGCCGATCTCCCAAACCAAGAAAGGACCTTCCGGGCCAGCCTCCCCAGTCTATGAAATCTAAAGCACCAACCCCTCACTGAAATTGTTTGCGGAAGCTTCAAATATTGCGTATTCTAATGAAATTTGTATACGTCTTTCTATTGCATCAGGTCGCCTGGCTGCGAGTCGACACGCAGACGATCCTGACGATCCACAGTCACGTCATCACCAAGAACCATCGCATCGGCGTGACGCACAGTGAACACAAGACGTGGTACCTGCACATCAAGGAGGTGCGCGAGTCTGACAAAGGATGGTACATGTGTCAGATCAACACAGATCCAATGAAAAGTCAAGTCGGGTATCTGGACACTGTGGGTAAGCAAATAGTTTGAATGTAATTTAAATCCCAACTAAAAATCTAAGCGTCATGTGCAACGTGATACATTTGAAGGGTCTAATTATTTCCAGCACAACACCGTCGCATACTGAGCAGAACAATGCATTACGTTCTTACAAAGCTGTTGTTTTGATCCTTAGGAAATTGTATACAAATCCTTGATACGTGTCGCACAATCATCTACAGCTTGTTTCAATTATAATCTTGGTTAGAGGAAGTGTTGCTTAAAACCTTTCCTGGAACACATTGTACACGTCCAGGCGAGTATTCATTGTGTCTGCGATTCCAACCTGCAAGGGGACACTCAGGAATCCGTAATGAATTGCAGTGTTGTTTTCTTCTCCACGCGGGTATTGTGTCCGCTTGGATTCTGAGGGTCGCTCTCAACCTTACAAGAGTCGGAACTGTTCCTTGCCTAATTTCAGTGAATCATTATGTCATTCAAAAATATAACTTTCCACTTCCTTTCTGAGGTTATAGTAAAACAGTGTAGTATTGTGGTTTAAAGAAGGTCGTAGTTAGCAAAGTCTGATTTTCAAAGTTCTTTCATGCTTGAGAGGAGTGGGTATTGTTCTTGTAGGACACTTCAAAGTGAGCTGTGATGTAGAAGTAGAAGTGTTAGATTTTTGTAGTACCTGCAACTTGGTCGTTCCCTAAGGTGGTTGTGGATATCACCACATGTTTGCACTTCCGACATGTGGTGTAATGACATTCTCAAACCATTGCCTTCAGAATAATAAGTCATGACTTGTGCTGAATGACTTATTCATATTCAGTGGCGTTGCCGGAGCTGACTTGAATTCAACTATGATGCATGTAAACTTGTACAAACAAGATGTTGGCACGTGTTGCTAACTAGCATCAGTATTTTAGACTTTCGTAAATTATCCACTGGTTCTTACAAGAAAATTTACAAAATTTAATTTCTGAAATTTAGTCGTAATTTGTGGCAAAAAAGAAAATCATTTTGCTTTTGATGTTTGTTTGTAGTAGTAGGTGTTAGAGTTCTCCATTTGAATCCCGTTTAATAATTAATAGCAATAGTGAGTTTCAATGTAACTCTTGGGGACAAGGCGCGAGCTGAGCATGTTCCCATTGGCATGCGGTCGGATGGCACAGGTAAAACCACTCCGGGCACACCGACGGCGAAAAGCCGACGAATTTGTCCCGGCCGCCGCGCAAATGCGGTTGGCGTGTAGCCGCTCTGCATCTCCGCGCCAATAACATGCAAATGTATGTAAAACAGCCATCAAATTACATAACACCGAATCATGGGAATCTCGGGAGGTGTTTTCCTCCATCATCTCATGGCAGCAGCATCGTCGCACATGTCGCAACTCAGCGTTCGTTGCGTTTAATTGATTTATATTAAGCAAGCAGGCAGCGTATAATCTGTGATGATCACACCAACGCCAGGATATGTAATTCATCCATGTATCACACAATGGCGCATCTCTTCATCCCCGCTGTCCGCATGTGTATATGTTTTTATACGAACAATAGACGCGCTGCAAATGAAAGGCCGTGGATGTTTTAATGCGCGATGAGAAATTATTTTTGTACTTCCCGACACAATATTTGCATAGGATCTGTACGATGGTGTGTCATTGTTTAATTTTGGCACTAATGCGCGAAAATGTGACTGGGTAAGGAAAACTAATAAGTTGATTCATGCGACCCACGTCCACTGAGCAAACAATTAAATCGCCAGCTACATTAACCATCGACACGTTGTACTAATCAGTGTGTGTGTGTTTGGTTGCAGTGCCGCCAGACATATTGGATTACCCGACTAGCACAGACATGATCGTCAGAGAGAGCTCCAATGTGGCGCTGCGTTGCGTCGCGAAGGGATCGCCCGAACCAGCGATCACGTGGAAACGCGAAGGAGGCGAACCGGTGCAATTAATTACCGGTGAAGAAGGTAATTTAGCACGGCGAACTTTTTAAATATTTACACTTATTCACACTTACTTTAGTCTCAAGTGATTCGCTCCACAAATAATTACTGCCACTCGAACACATCAAGTTTAAACAAAACTTTACGCATAGAATTTGTATCAAATTATGTTTTGATTTGAAAATTGTTCATTTGCGTTTCCTTTCTTCACCGAACTTTAATTTAGAAACCAGTTAACTTTATGCCAATGGAAACGTTAATAACTTGTTCACCTCAACCACGCAACACCTACGCCATTAATAAATACGAAATTTGAATGACAATTAAAATCAACTCAAAAGGTAAAAGCAAACATTCAATATCGAGCATGTTATCATTTCGTTTATCGAGAATTCACATCGTTGATAAATTCAATATGTGGGCACAAGTTTGTTTCGAAAGGTTTGGAAACAAACATCACCTACATACGATACAATACAGCCGATGTTACCCATGAATGAATACGCAATAAAAGTTACGAGCAACTCGAGAAACTCGAACGACATCAAATAAAACTGTGCAAAAATTTATCAGAAACTTGAAAAAAAAGAGTTTGAAACATTCAAATTATTTCAATGTTGTAGTTGACAAAACACAATAATAATTTACGCTTGTGCTGTTGCTGGAGAATTGTCCAATGTCCATAATCGATTAAGCATTGTCTATTTGAACGCGTCTCCCCAGCTGCTTGGTAACCAGCGAGCCGTTCGCTTCCAAATCGTTTGCAGTCTGTGGGCTTGGAGCGTACCTGCGCAGAGGTGGACGGGGTGAGTTGAATTTACTGGCTCGTGAAGAGTGCACAAGAAGCGTGTTCGCATCATCACACATGCGGGTCGCCGGCGCTCACTGAAACAATAATGTAACAACCTCGGATGCAGTTTGCACTTGCACTTGCAATGTTTACTGGGTACGGCTGAGCAATCGATATTTTATCAACACACCATGAAGTCCAATAGTGAAAAAAACATGTTTCTAGATCAGTTTTACAATTTTTTTTTGGAACATTTGTAACTGAACTTGTTGACGGTGGTTAGGTGTAAATTATTGAAAGCTTCATGAGAGCAATTGAGAACAAGTGTGTGAATAAGTGGACCAGGGCGCAAATTGTATTACACACCAATCGAGTTGGGTTCAGCGCGGTTCCCTACATGCGAGCGGTCAATTATATTCATTATGTTTGCGCATCGTTTCGCATTGTTGCAGCCGTGAGCGTCGAGGGTCCTATCTTGAATATTACACGTGTCACACGGCAACAGATGGGGCCATACCTGTGCATCGCTTCCAATGGGGTTCCTCCTTCTGTCAGCAAACGTATCAGTCTGGTTGTGCACTGTGAGTAACCCAGAAATTCTTTCTTTCATGTTATTCAGGTGTGGAAACGAACATTAATTATCCCACTAATCTCTCTTTTGGTTCTTTCATACGCAGTTCCGCCGATGATATGGATACAAAACCAAATGGTCGGAGCCTACGAGGGTCAACAAATCACTTTAGATTGTCATTCGGAAGCGTACCCAAAATCCATCAACTACTGGACGACGGACAACGGCGAGATTGTTCCGCAAAGTAAGTGAAAATAATAATAAAAAGACTTCGGGGTCCGCGGTGAAAAACGCAAAGAGACCAACACAAAGCCCGGGGCCAAAAGAGGCAAACGCCAGTGCCACCGATGGGTAATATATAAATGTCTCAATGTTGGAAAAACCTTTGGTGCCTTTCTTCTCGTCGCGGGTCCAGCGAAGATCTATTCGTACGTGTATACGATGCAATTATTTACTTTTCGATTTCGGGAGATTTCGACCGCGTGCGCGGTGCTGCACCAACCGGCCATACATAAAAGTCGTCTTCCGGACGACAGGTCGACAAAAGGTCAACGCGACCATTATTATCGGACAACTTCGAGAGTAAAATAGTAAATGCGATGTAATTTTGTCAATTTATCAAATTCATTTCTGTAAAATCTTACTGTTACCATTACTTGGGTAATAGTAGGTACCTCATAAAGCAGAAACGAATAGCAATTTAAAAAAGTAAGAGCCCGCTTGAAGGCAATATGATACCCGCAACTATAGATGCGGAAAAGTTGAAAGTTGGAAAAGTATGCGAATCTATAAAACGTCGCGTCGCGTCGTGGTGAGCACATTATTACCCTATATTAGCTTATTAAAACCACTAAGTTACTGCAAGACGGCATTTGATGCCGGCATTTAAATCTAGTTATTACTTCATATCTGATTCCGAGCGTACGACTCTCCTGCACGCCGTTTGAAATATCGTGACGTTTTTATTGCGTCGGGCACCGATAAAAAACGAATGCCTCATTGTTATATTTAATTTAGTGTAAGTCATTTTGGCTAAACTAGTAATAAACTAGCTTTAGAACTTTATTAAACTCGGACTAGAAATTATTTTAGTATTAAAACATTTGATTACTTTTTTTCTCCGCAGGTGGTAAATATGAAGTGACCGTCAAGGATAACGGCTACAAGATCCACATGCAATTGACCATCAAGACGGTGTCCGCTGGCGATTACGGATCGTATAAGTGCATCGCGAAAAACTCACTGGGGGATACAGACGGCACCATTCAACTTTATGGTGAGTACCAATCCATTTCGCATTGGGCTGAAACTTTTTCTCTCAAACATTGAATATGCAACGCAGCAGTTGCAACTTTTCGAACGCCAAAAGTGTGATCTGATCTTTTTCCGGGCATTCCGAATCCGGATATCGTGTCTGCCGCGGGTCAGAAAGCAACTACTCTGCTCGGCTAGACATGACTGACTTCCCCTTCATGACGTGTGCTTTGCATAGTTTCTGTATTTACATGTGTGTGTAAGTTGAATTATTTCGATTGCGTTTTTCGGATGCGAGCGCCAGAGTATAGGGGGAGATGTAAACAGCCCCGAAAGATATATATTCCTTATTCGTAATATTTATATAAACGGAAAAACGCCGCTTGCACTCCGCACAGAATGTATCGCTTTATATATTAGCGAATTGCGAGTGTATGAGTGTGGGGTGCATGAAATAGGGGCGTTTTATCAGTGCGTGCTTATATTAAGGGCGATAGGATTCTTTATGGTTGCAGCGGACGTCGTATAAATAAATATTCGCGAGAAAATGAGAGGAAATAAGAAATGTTTGTGCAGAAGTGCTTCAAACTGAATTGAAAGTTCAGCATAAACATTTTAGATATTGTCTAAAAAATGAAATAGTTGTTTTTAGGAAAATTTTAAAACAAGTGTAAAAAGAAACTTAAATTCTAAATTATTTATTACTTACTTGCGTTCGTGTCTTGCATCCTCTCATCTGGGCTAACCGAAGGTACTTTTATAGTAAGCAATTTTAGTTTAAGATTGACTCGTCGTAAAACCTTTACGAGGATTTAGATTTCTGAGTGCATAACGGTTTAACACCCGCTCCGCTACTGCGGCAGCAACGGCCGCAATACCGACTTATAATGGCTATATTGGTTCATTGCCTTCGGTGTTCACTGCTTCCTTACGTCCTCCTTCTTGACATGATACAGAAGAGTCAAGGAGTGTCTTCATTTATTGTAATACTTTGTAATAGATAAAATACACACAGGAATGAACTAATATGCAAAAAAAATTACTAGAACTTAATTTTTAATTTAATCAACTATATTAAAACTAGTAATAATTCATAAGGTAAACTAGCAGAAAATCTTTAATTCCCCTTTTGAAAGTTTTGATACCAAGTTTGCTAAACCCTTCGAACGGCCGAAAGTTTTATTCGAAATGTTTTGCGCCCGCCGATTGTCTGCGTTTTTTAACACTTAGCCAGAGCGCCCGCCTGTCGACCCAAACTCCTCCGCAATGAAATTTTAATTAATTATATTTGCAAAGTAATTAAGGCACTTTGAGAAATATGCGCGATTTTGATAAGGGCTCGACGCAGACGACTGGGCATCTCTCTCCTCTCGTCGTCGGAATTAACTCTTTAGCGGCACGCACGAGTTGGCCGGATTGAAACTTGCTCCCTCTCCTCTCAACGGAGGTTGCACTGCAGCGTTGCACGCCGTCTTGTCTACTCCTCAAGAGCGCAGAGGGTGGCTTTCAACTGGCTGGAATCGCGGCAGTTGCACCGCGCGCGCTGTTCAGCCTGATGAACGCCATGTCGTTCTACCCGGTTATACATTTTAAACTTTGACTAGCGAACCGCGCTGCGATTGAATTACGCGCATCAAAGACCTTCTATAAAATACTGCACTGGATAAACTAATTTATACTTAGTCCTAATACTTATATAAATATATAAATATATTCTTATCGCCGAGCAGGGTTTAAACTTTTCTTGGCGGGCGCTAAAGGAAATTCGTTTTAAATAAACTCCAAACTTGTTTTCATTGACGTTCTTTTATGCATAAGTTTATAATTATTTGTAGAAAACTTCTGTAAGTTCAAATATAAATTTTTCTATTATTATATCAAACATAACTTAACTTAAACTACAAACAATAACTTTATAAACAAAAATATTCAATTTTTCAACAAAATTGTAACGAATTTTCTTAGTTAATCCTGTTTTGCATCGCACATCTCGAGAATTAATTCAATAGAAATATTTAGCGAGATCATTTTCATTTTCATATTGCGTCTTGCCTGCAGGGGGATGAACGAATGGAACGCATGAATAATTCCGTATTAAAACTTTCTTTTCCTAAATCCCTCATTTCTTTGTTACAGAAATACCCAAGCCGTCGCGTCGATCCAACGGGATGCACAGAAAAGGTGAGCGATAAAAACTTAGTGCGCTGCATTCGTGCGCCAGTAAACCGGGGGGACGGTATGGAGGAGGCAGAAAGACCGCCGCCGCTAAATATGTGAAGTGATTAATATTTGAAGCTCAGCACAAGCGCAGACTGTCACGGTTAACGCAGTTCACAACCGCCACCTAGCCTAAACCCCAGTTTACCTACTGATTCACACAAGCGTCATACAAGGTGTTGAACAAAATCTCAATTTAATTAAAATTTAAAGCTTTTTTGTTACTTTAACGAAACTTTAAATTATTTTATAAGTTTACATGTTTTGAAATTAATCAATTGAATATAATTAAAGTTTGTGATTTATATTTATGCTTTTCGATTTGTTGTCAGCATGACAACAGTAGGTTCACCAACAACTCGAATAAAACCGGTGTGGAATTTCGAACTAGCACACCTGAATTACTATAAACAGCAAACAGGGCTAACTGGTTTAGCAATTGTGCAAAATTCAAAGCAAATGAAATTTGCATCGCGAGACAATAGCGCCCGAAACAATGCGATAATCTAGTGTAAACTTATCTGTCATTGTTGCATCTCCCGTTAGCGCATTGATTTTTAATTTCAATGCCTTCAAACACATTGTATAATGAAACCCGGCTGCTAAAAGTAGAAAAGTCATTCAAATTGTAAATTCGAATGGATTTACTAGCAGATACGTCATGTAAACATGCAATATCATAATTTATTTCACTTACAAATCAACACCGCTTAATATATTCTATAAATTATGCATTAGTTGAAGCCTCACGCCTTAATATAGCGGTTAGTCAGTTGTGGAGGCGCCGGTCGATCGAACGATGGTGGTGGTTCCCTTCCGTGCTTTTTCCATTCACGTTTCGCATCAGCGATAATAGTTTTATTGACTGTTTGAAGCAGACAATAAAAACGCCACCATTAATATTCATATATCTTTATTTGCTGCATCAAATCGAACAATTCAACGCATAAAATATCTAAATATGAATTTATTCGATTTATTTCAGGCAAGTTTCGCAAAAAACTTAACGACGTCACAGACGACTCGGAAAATATGCCAGTTGCAGGTAAATATCGCTCATTAGATTCATATAAAGTGCTATTTTCAACTTTGCAATCTCTCGGCGAATTATTATTTGGGAAAACCATTAATAGAGGATTTGACTTAAATCTGCGCTTTGGCATTTCGATGCTCTTTGTATACATCCACGATCAGAGCAGAAGCTTGCGCATCTGATAACTGATAACGATGAAATGTCCCTTTGCTTGTTTCGCAGACATGGAAGATCAACCGGATTCGCTCTTCCAAGAAGACGACTACTACAACGCCTGCTTCAGTATACACAACCCGCCGGTGCACGCGATGGCTGTCTCTATTACAATGATCGCGCTGCCTTTCATATTACAATAAATCTCCGCGACTCCCTCTCCTCGCTCGCCTTTTGTATAAAGCGCATCTTAAACGAGCATAACAATACCGCACGCCGCCGCCAAACAAGACAAGTTTTTATTTCGTTCCCAGTTGCTTTTGTGCAACACCCGACGGGTCGCTCTCGTTTCCATAGATTTATAGATTTATATTGCATTGAAGGCATATTTCTAGGGTGGCTTTATCATTTCGGAGTTTTTGCCTGCGCGCTTTTGTCATCAATGCTCGTTTGCATCATCATTATGTGGAAACTGACATATCGGGACGTTAGTACGGTACGCTCTAGATAGATTTGTAAATTTTAAGGCGAATGTTGACAACTGAACACATCAATTAGTACCTATAATTATAGAAATGTTGTTTTAATAATTTTGACATTAAAATACATCGTATTTACTTAGAATAAACAAGAATGCTTCCTATACTTTTAATTTTATTATTTATTTTAGTTTATGATGAATATTTGGAAGATTTTTTAAATTTCTTTTTAAATTTTTTTTCAATCAAAATTAGGGCAATTTTACAAAAATATTTAATTTTTTAATCTGAAACCTATAAATTTACAGTATTTACCAAAGATATCTTCATTTATTACCACTAAAAAAAAGATTGAACATTGACTGATGATATTATCCTAAATAATAATAAATTATATAAATAAATCTAAAAAACAGATGGAAATAAATTAAAATATTTGAAAATAAACGAGAGAAAGTGTATAGTTTGTAAGCAATATTTTAGGATAAACATATACCTACTGCATTAAATAATATTTATTCTTATTAGCCGAATCATGTAAACGATACATAGTATATCAAAACATGCGACGAATGCAACGCTATCCGCGAATTCAATATGATCGAATGGCTAAAGTGCAATGTCAAATGGAATCGTGAAAAAAGTACTGCATAGTTAAGTGTTAGTCTAAGTAGATTTATATCCATTAGCCTCTAGCGTTTTATTATTTTATAACCAATGCAGAATATAAAAGTAAATAATTTATTACAAATATTCTGTATGAATAAAAAATTATATACATTTTTCGGCTTGATGGATCAAATAACAGATGAAAACTGAAAAGGTTTCCTAAAATATTTATATTTGTAATGAGCTTGCTTTCATGTTTCTGTGAAAAGTACAGCACTGGCGCGACCAGTACCTACCTAATATTACTTATCTATTAAAAATTTAATTAGTGTTTTGTTATGAGTGCGGCAAAGTAATTACAAATATTATTTTGTAGTAAATGTTGTATTTACATCACTTTACAAATCAAAAAATTGATTTATGTTTGAATTGATTTAAAAATATTCTGACAACGGGAACAATATTGAGAATCACTCTTCAGGATTATTTACTACATTTATTTTTAAAAATACAATTAAAATGTTTATACCATAGTTTAATTTGTGCTTTTGTTTGTGCTTTTATTTTGAACGAGATAAAAATAAAACCTGTAACGTTATGTAAAATAAATAGTTTTTTACGTAACAAATATTCTGAGGATAAATTTATTTATTATCGTACCCCTGGAATTTTAATATGTTTTTTACATTAAACACAAATACATAAATATATTAATAGCTGTAATTAATTTCACTTGTGGATCGTAAATTCTCTTGTCGTAAAATTAATAAACCTCACACTATTTGCCCAGCAAACATCTGCGTTTATGATGCACATTTAGAGTGTTTCCGAAACGATAAAATTTCACAATCACACTAATATTTTAATTAAACAAATAATCAAAAAATAACAACGTATTGTTATCGATGAAATGTTGCAATTAAATGGTCATCAATAACAAACCGTCCGGACTCAATCTAATTTGATAATAATGCGTAGAACGGGCTGGATTTTGCGCGAAAATCCCACAAAGCTGTCATACACTTTCGCGATCATGCTGACTCATTGTATTCCGTTGGCACATCGGCACATTTATATAGCTCAATTGCAGCAGTACCATGTAGCTGGGAATCACGATTAATTGGCTCGCCTGACTAGCACTATAAATATCCGGAGAGTGGTGCATCGGTAAGTACATCCTTTACACTGTTGGTTCAATATTTTGGCCCAAATATTTATCTCTTTATAGGTTTTCCAACTTGAAATTGGAATAGTTTGCGCTGGTGTGTAATACAGATAACACCGGAACTGCGTTTAATATTTAATAATGAACTTTAATTAAAATTTGTATTTACCAGCGCAGGATGATGAGTAGTGCGGTGGAAAATTGAGCAATGCGTAAACCAAATGCATTATTGATATAAGCAGTATTTATGATTCATATTTATAAAACCATTATTGTATTATTTTAAAATTAATTTTTCTTTGTTTTAAATATTTTTATGTGATTTTAAAATTAAATCACTTGTAGTAGTTTTTCTTTTAATTTGCTCGGGTGTAGTTTAGAGTCGTTGATACGCTGTTCATATTAATGACTTGCACAATGACCCAATTTATATGTAAAGCTTTAAAAACGCTAGATAAATTTCATTAGCGCGTCGAATTGAGCCCGCCATTGTTTCCCATTCCGTGTCGCTGAATCGTATTTCACGGCGGGCAATTCCCGGACAATTCGACTTTTTGATACGCGCGGCACGCGCTCGGTTCCGCGCCGAAACGTAATAGCTACTCATGTGGAGGCGCCGGGAAACACACCAAAAGCAAGAGTCAAGCGCTGCTACTGAAAAAAAAAACTAAAGTAAAAACAAAAAGGAGGATTGAATACGGGACAGATCTAATTAGCCAGTAAGAAACACCTTCAATACGCCATGAATGTAAGCGGTAAGCTTTGACGGGGTGTGAAGTGCACGAAGATAAGGCAGACAATAGCAAATTGTTCGCCAGCATTGCCGTAAGGAAAAAGAAAGAGGGAAAGAGGTGAGAATGAGGACGCGATAAGGCCTGCTATGCTATAGTGTTCTTGGTTGGTGCGGTTGAAGGTTGAAGGGGTTGTTCATAGATAAAATAAAATGCGAGTATGCGGCCGGAAAATTAGTCGGCGCGTTTACAACCTACTCATCCCCACAAACACTAGAATTTTGGTTGAAAGTAGAATAAATAAATAGTAATCATTGCTTCAACTGTTTCTGCTTTTAGAAATATATAGAAATAAGCAATAATCTTGAAAAAATTGTGCATCAGAAATTAAGTTGCATTTTTAATTTTTACGCTCAAATGTTGAAATTTTATTGTTCAACTTGAAATATTTTTTGAAAGAATTGGAATTTAACTTGGACGTCCACTACTTGTACTTGAAGGTGCGTGTTAGCAGCACGTTGTGCCGCCCTCACAGGCGTTGAGCAAAACGAATCTATGCAAAACTTGGAACGCAGTGGAGGCGCCGGGCGCCATACGATAAATAAGACATACTTCCTTGATTGCTTTCTAGTACGTTTATAATAACCCTTTTAGGCTGGGTTGTGCGTCCGCATCGCGTGCCATTGTGCTATCTACCAGCTGTCACCACTGAACAGCAGAAGCGAAACTGCGGAACCGGCCAGCAGACGCTCAGACGTTCAGGCCCTTTAAAACGTTTAAGTGGTCGAAGCTTGGATAATACCCCAGCCGCTTACAAGCAACTATATTAAACCAAACCGCTGAGACTAAAACGCAATTAACACAAATCGTGATCTTCAAGTTTCGTAATTATTTTTAAATATTTTAAAAGTAATTTTTACAAACTGTAAAGTTTCAAAGTTTGAACTTAATATTTTTGATTCACAGGATGCAATTTTAGCTGTAGGTATCCAAACACCATACGTTGTTATGAAACAAGCTCACTGTTTACGGACGTCACGCGTGCGGTGTGTACATGCACGCGGCACAAGATTAATTACGCGTCCGTAAATTAACCCTCATGAGTGCAGAACAAACACGGCGCGAACGCTTCACGCATATCACATAAGCGTATGTCTATCACTAGAACGTGCTCTGTGTTACCCTAAACGATGAACAACAAACACACACGACTTAAAATAGATATCCTTGTTATTCTTGATATTTACACTAATTATTTGCAAAATGAAGTGGAGAACTAGCCTGGAATTTATAAAATACAATCGATAGTGAGTTAATAATTTATGATTGAAATCAAAAACAATTTAGTGTGGAATCTTGGAAGATCAGCGTGATTAATGGTGCAAACGCCTGCATCTTCTGTTGGCCGGCGTGGGCGACGGCTTACAAACACTTAAAGTTGCTAAATAGTGCACAAGTTGGCGCATGGCGGCGATGGGAAAGTGAGAAATTGGGATATTAAAGCGAGATTATACGGGCGCATTTCTGCGCCCACTCGCATTTGACAAATTATCACATTCATCAAAAGCGATTTTCCTTCTAATTACATAATTATACAATCTTACATCGGTATTTTCATTTCGTTACAGTTAAAATTTCAATGGTAAATCACACCACTATTCAGATCGTTATCACTTCAGCATTCGTTTCGTAATTTGTTTTTTTTAGCAAAATAATTTCCTTTAATATTTGACAATGATATATCTTGTAGTGCTGTGGAAAATATAAAACAGATTGTTCACTGCTGAGGTTTTAGCAAATTGAGGACAAGTGCAAGAAGATTTAAAAAATAAACGTGCGCGCACTGGAATAATTCTTGCGACGAGCTTTTCTTCTCTTCCAAGAAAAGTGAATCCGGTTGATCTGTAAAATCATACATTGGTTTATTGGAAATTATGGCAAAAACACACAGTACCTGATTTTGATCTGCTTGAATATGACAAATCTGTTGATATTGACGTTTTGCTGCCTGCAACTGAAAGCGAAGTTTCAATTGCCGTCATCACATGATTTTAATAAATAAATTATAATTATTTTATTCTTGGAATATTAAATAATTAGTTAATGTGAAAATTTGTTCACGATACTTTTTTGCGTATTTCGGTATTCTATTCATCGTACTTTGCATGAAAAGTGTGAACTTTCAAGAATTGGAGAATAAAAACGCGCTCGTACGCATCGCAAAGAAAGCGGCAAAAAGATGAAAAATCCAACATGGAAACATTCAAACTAAGATCTAATTATATCTCTTTTACATAACATTTCTAAAAAGCTTTTCGCGTTTCCTCTTTCGCTCCACGCTTTTTTGCTCATCGGTGGCGACGGCACCCACGATCCTTCATTACTCGCGGGCGGGCGGAAACTTTAGGCGAGATAACTTTAAAAATACGGCGAAAACACACCGCCCGCTTCCCGATGACGTGAATATTTAAAATAATGAATTTAATTCAGCATCTTTTGCGTTTTTAATTTTTTACTTCGTTCGGATATTTCAACTCTTGAGAATTTATCTCTTTCCAGAGGTTCATTCGTCTTTTGTCCAAATGATATGAACGTGCAGCCAGACAGAATAAATTCACGACGAGAGTGAATAACCAAAATTTAATCCATTAAAAACGCGGATTTTACCCTACGATTCTACAATAGCTGCATTCTAATTCATTTGTGGCATTTTCTTCTCCCGCGCGTTAAACTTTTTCACCTGGCGTAATGTTCACAATAGAACGTGTAAATGTCCATGCCTATATTATGTTTGCCGATAATATCTTAAATATCGATCAGTGCAATTTGATTCATACGAGTATAACGACTACACCGCGCCGAGTTTATACGCAAGAGACGACATCGAGCTGGCGGAGAGAAAAAAAAAACGCAACGGAAAGCCATCACACGGGAAATGCGCCAGCGAAAAAAGCATCGCGCGCACACAAAACGCTTTACTCCACTTGATTAATGACGATAAATAAATCGACTTACTTTTCCTTTTTTGTGTCGTCGTTTTATTCGAAACGGCTGGTTTGGGAATTCCTGCACACAGATAATGACATAATAATGAAATTGAATGCTAATAGAAGGCGCCAGCCAAAACACGACGACAACAGCACAAAGGCGCCGCTGTTGTTGTTGTGTGTGTGCCGGTGGATAAACAAAACAAATTAGTTTATAATTGAGCCCCGCGCGCGTTAATAACGCCGGCGGTGGCTGAATTTCAGTTCGCACTTACTGTAAACGTTGATGGTGCCATCCGTGTCGCCCATGGCGTTCTTCGATACACATTTGTAAATGCCGTAATCCGCCGTTTCCAATCGGCGAATTGTCAGCTTCATGTGGACCTTGTACGAGTTGTGCACCAAATACGGATCGTACTTCTCATCTAGATTTTCGAGATAAACGTGTACAAATTAGTTTATTCCACGATCATTAAATAAACATTATTATATTAGGATAGGCTCCAATTGGAGGTTAATTTATTTTGAATTAGTTTAAGTCAGTTTTGATTGCTTAAAGAAGGAAAGAGTTTGTGTTGTAATGGCTAACTCATTGATTACTGGGCCTTTATGATACAAAAGCTGCGCAGGTATATGATATCATCAATTCGTATTGGTTGTGGCTTGCGCTGCTCCTTTCAGTATCGAATTGTAGCTGTTTCAATAGCGCAACTCAAGCGAGAGCGCACAATCCGAACCCTCGTGTTTCCGTTAACACTCTGCGGTTCATCGGTGCGCCAGTTTGGGTTCTCCAGTCAAAATACTAACGGCGAGACCCTAGACGAGACGATACCGCGATAGTTTGGCCCGAATTAGCTCCGCCGCCACACAACGCTGAATAACACTTACTTTGAGGAACGATTTCGCCCGTATCTCGAGTCCAGTAGTTAATTGATTTCGGGAACGCTTCCGAATTGCATTCCAAGACAATCTGCTGCCCATCGTACGCTCCGATTAATTGATATTGGATCCAAATCACCGGCGGAACTACAGATGTGCAGAGACAGGCAAATAAAATAAAAAATCAATGAAAAATCATCAAAGAAAATTATTTTCCTTAAATAATTTATGTTCTGATGAATGTTTTAAATAGTTGAGATCAAATGAAAATAAGAATTTTCTCTAATGTATTATTGACTGGTAATGAATAATGCGGAACGATCAACGAGTGAGTTTTTGACTCCGTCCGCGTTTCGGAACTTACAGTTGACGACGAGCATTATCCTTTTACTAACCGACGGCGGGACGCCGTTGGTGGCGATGCAGAGATAAGGACCCATGTGTTTCCTATTCACATGATGAATACTTAATACTGTGCCTTCGACGCTTGCCTCGCCTGCAGAAAACAATCTTTATTTAATGTGCGATAAAGCGACTCTCACGTTACAATTCACAGCAAAGATATTTTTACTTTACGTAGCTGGACAAATGACTATTATGTACATTACCTTCTCGATCTCTTCGATCTTGTTTAATCGTTTCACCAAACTCTCTCTTCCAGAGAATGGTCGGTGTTGGTGAACCACGCGCCACGCACACCATGCTCACATTGGACCCCTCAGTCACTACCATATCCGGACTGGTCTGATAGTCGACTATGTCCGGCGGAACTGTAAGTCGAAAATCAAATCATCCCCTATTCCAAATCCTTGTTTCACACTCCACTCACCAACAACGTCCAGATAACCGACCTGACTCTTCATCGGATCGGTGTTGATCTGGCACATGTACCAACCCCGATCAGACTCCCTCAGATCTTTGATGTGCAGAAACCACGTGCGGCGTTCGCTATGCGTTACGCCAATGCGCACATTCTTTGTGATAATATGACTATGGATGGTGAGTATCGTTTGCGTATCGACCCGCAGCCAGGCAACCTGAAATGTTAAAAATGCAATCTGCACAAAGAAGGCAATAATACATGTGTGGTGTATGTGGGGGAAGCGAAATGGAATTGCCATTGACATTTAGCCAGCATGTCTGCGTACGGTCTGGTGCGGTGGCCGTCGAGACGGAAATGTGATATATTTGACATTTGCTCACAGTGGGAAGTCGGGAAAGGTGAATGCGTTACGCTTTTCTTCTCCGGCAACCAAAACGAATTCAAATCCTAGCCGTTTCCTCATGCATTATAAAAACGGTGTCTTTCGTAAAATCCTAAAGCCGTAAAAATTATATAAAATTTACATGTCGTGGAGGTAAATTCCATGTGGGTGCAAATAATTTAATATAAATGTATTCCCGGCCAATACTAAACGTAAACACGCGTCGCTTTAGATATTCTCGGTCGCAAAGCGTCGAAGACGTGAGCTTTGCGAGCTTTGTGCGGAATGCTGTAAAAGTGGCACTTTTATGCCTTTTACGTCCTTTATATCCGAGGCATAGGTACGCTATCCATGCACACGTGCAGTCGTGAGCTTTCGGACGACAAGCTTCAAGAGTTTTATAATTAATTATTTACTCTCACTACACCCGCTTTGTTTATTCATTCACATTTAAAACAAACCGCGCGACGTTTGTGGAAAATGATTGTGTTTTTTTTTTCTCTCTCTGCAAAGAATAGTTCCTTTTAAACAAATATTAAATTAAACCACAAGAGTGAATATAGCCTCCTCGTGCATTCACTGGCTTTGGGACATTCTGTGAGCTTCGGGTAGTTGATGCTGCGGAATTAAAAATGCGTGCACTTTGTGCTGTCCAGAGGGTGCGCGCAAAGTTGTAATGAAAATTCTGAAAAGATTTATTATGTTTTCGCACACCAGCCAGTTAACCAGCCTGGGGTATACATTTTTTCATCAAATCTTTGTCGCCAGATTTACCTACGGCACACGAGTTATGCTACTTTTTCAGGTGGTTACTTTATACACGGGGTTTGCAAAGAAAAACGAATAAAAAACAATATTTTAATCTGTTACTTGTCGTTTTGCATTGCGCTGCATATTTTGTTCTCTTTGGTGACGTGAATTAATTTTCTACGGTCACATTTGTTGCTCAAAACAAGAAATTTTTCCAGTGCCGCATTCATTTTGAGCACATGTTCCATGCAACATATTTATTTTATCTGTCTTATTCGTGAATTGATTTTTGGCATGTGCTTGTAATTTGTTCTGTTGTGCTTCTACTAACTGCAACAATAACAAAACTAAAATTCTGAATTATACATCTCCTTGTGCATTGTTGATGTCTAGAAAGTTTTGTTGGTGTTTTACATCAAAATTTTCATCAGAATTTTGTTACTTGGTCAGTATAAACCCTACCTTTGTTATTTTTTGTGTGTTTTGCAGTACTTCCGGTAGCGGTTTATTTTTACTGCTGTACGTGTTTGAAGCGAGCCGCTCGATTCTCGTTAGTTTTATTACGAAACTTGGTCGTTTCGCAGGAAAGCGCGCACGAGACGAGCGCGCGTCAAGGCAAGAAGCGGTCGCATCCGACACGCAGGACTCCGACACATTCCTGCCGATACGTCCGTCGACGCCTTGGGGCTGAGCCACCTTGCCACCCGCTTGTCCCTCTATCTTTAGTATATATGGATATGCGCCGGCATTGTGCAAAACTTTTGATTATCTTTTCAATCGCTCCGACAATACAGGCAACTTGAAAAGTGGCAATAACGGCGTGCAAAAAGCATAAACAACATAAAACGAACAAATTCGGGAAAAAAATAAGCTTTTGCTTGTGGGTATTTATCGTTGCTAATAAGAAGTGGTAAATGGTGGGTATATTGAGATATCCTAGTTTTCTCTCAATTATTCTGTAATTTTGTTTTTTGTTTCATGTATTATTGACGCAATTTGCGGCAATTTTCAACTTTCACTGTGCTCCAAAGGGGCGGCAGAATGGCGAATGCGACGATAATAATATTAGTACAACCTGGGATTGTGATTTTTCCTTTTTGTAAAGAGCTTTCCTTCTATTGCCCTGCACGCGATATCAAAGCTGTGCATGTCGATAATTTGACACGAAGCGCCTTGCTCTTATTATTACCTATAGTTTCGTCACAATCGCAAACACAAAATTTATTTCACAGCACGTGGAATAACTTCTAAAAATACTTTTTTTAAAGATTTTGTTGATTCGTTTTTAAGTTTTAAAATAAAAATAGATATTTGTTTGTGCAAACCTTGTAGAGTCCAAGATCGTCGACGACACATTTGAGTATCGCCTCTCTGCCAGCCGTCACAGTCACGTTCTCGATGGGCTCGTGAAAGCTGGGATTCTCTGCAAAACAAGAAAAGCGTATCAAAATCTGTCGCTATATTTCCGCGCACAAATGAAAGCGCCAGCACATAAAAAACAAATTTCGTCGCCTTGTGCCTTCTCGCTGCTTATTGCATTATAATAAAAATAACAAAAAAAAACAAATTAAGATTCGCTGGCGATGCGCATAAAAAAGCGAACTTTGTGCTGAAAGTGCAGCGCGCCTCCACAATCTGGCTGCCTTTTTGAGCACTTCCTACATTCGGAATCATTGCTGAATAAATTCCCAAGTAAATTAACTTTGAATATAAATATGAACGCGATCGCATCAGCATGGCGCCGAAGAAAAGAGGACTATTATTTTGCGCCGAGCACGCGGGTATCTGCGCCGCCTCCGGAGCAGATTAGCGCGCCCGGATTGCACACCCCTTCGTCGAGCGGGCCGACAAATAACTCCACGTTTCCCAGCCTTTTCTCGCCGGCGTACGACACTCAATGAACGAACGCTTGAACACTGTTTTCGGTTATTAAACCCTCAAACTCTCAGCACCAGCCGCCCTTAGGAATCGAGTCAAGTCAGAGATATAGAGACAATTCCGACGATTCTTATTCAAAACCTTCTCAGCTGCTAATCAGCTTAAAACGCTTATTATATTTTTGAACAGAAGCGGCGTCATACAATTTTAATTGGACGGGCAACTGTTTGGATGCAAGTTTATTCTGATGATATAGTTTGTTTCAGCTGTAAAACTCTAGAGAGAACAGCATGTCAATTAACAAAATGAAGTGACCTGACCAGAATAGAACAAAGGATAATTCTAGGTAATTCTTTTTGAAAACAATTTAAAAATAGAATATCATGCGTATGTTTTATTGGCATTTGACAACATCTGCCCACACTTGTTTTTTATGCAGAGACAAACATGCACGATGCATGATGCAGCGTGTGTTGTTTAATAATTCGAAGCTCCGAGTGGATTTTATAACTGCATAAAAGCGCACAACGCAACGCTGTGGTGCTTTCTACATTTCGCTCGCCCTCATTCACGAATAGCGAGGGCAAACGAGGATATTCGAGTACGACGCACATAAAATATATAGTTTTACTATGTTCATAAACCATGCAGCCTCTACGGGGCGCTGGGTCCGTGGTACTTTGGCGTGTGACCACGTAACTACTTATATTCACAGCGCCAGGAATAATATCACGGTCATACTTATCAAATGTACTTCCAGTGCAATAATTCGAATATGTACCATTGTATATGCGTATAAAATTCTAATTGGCTCTTGTTTCATCATTTATAAAAATAAATATGTCTAATTGTTATTTGTTGTACGAATTGTGAGCTTTTAGGCGAATAAAAGAATTATTAGTAACAGCAAATAATACGTGTCTGCAAGAAGAAGGAAAACGTCAGAAAAGCCACAATAAGCGTCCGAAAACAAACAATATCCCATGTCAAATCGTCTAATTCAATAAGTTCGCCTGTCACAAGCTTTTCTTTCCTGGCTGCTTCGCCAATTGCTACAGCTTTATAACACTCGCACCGTACACAATCGATTATATCTATATATCCACGAAGCAATAGCGCAGAATTGCTCAGCATTGTTTACGCAAGCGATCCGTGCGTCGTTGCACCCTTTAATTAAAACGTCACATATCAGCAATGCGGAGCGCGCCTGCGGTTTGCGTTTCGCAGCGTTTTGCGTTTCCTCCTACAAGCTTATCGCCCACCAGAGACGCTCACGCTATTCACGACAATCACAACTGTTTAGCGTCAACCAGCACGATGCACACAATAGCGCATAAGAAACCAGTCTTCACGGGAATATGGCGTCTCGGAGGAAAAGGAGACCGCAAGAGAGACACGTGTTGAAATGCCGTTATCGTTACGCGTTCCTATGCTACTAAAACTAGCTGGCATCATCACGACACACACTCTCCCACAAGCGTTATATTAATTGTCTATTAATTATCACCTGTCACATTGCATTAGAACACTGCGAACTGATATACGAGTATGCAAAGTGAAAGTAGATTTGGAATTGCAATTTTGGTAAGTTACCACCTGCACAAACAACGTGGTATTATTATTATTATTTCAATAACGAAATGAATACATTTAAATTAACACAGGTATTAAAATATGTTTTAACAGTTGGTGTATTACTGAAAAGAGTTTATGTGGTATGCAAATTTAATTATAAACGCGAGGTTAATATTTTAGTTTAACACTTTACATGTACCCTCGTTTATCAATGACTCGCAAGTTGATTGGATAATTAAAACACGAGAATGTACTTCTTATAAATTGCAAAGTCCAAGGAATTAATTCCGAAGGAAGTGGTCATTCTTTTTTGTCGCAGTTAAAGGGATTTATTATTTTAAAATGCGTCGTATTATATTCAGGGGATGTGAGTAAATAATCAATCTAATGATAACATCTAAGTCACAAAAAGGAAGAAATTTTTTATTTTTATAAAAGTTTTACATTTTTTAAATTTTTACTGAAATTGAGTATAAATTAGTTTAAACAAATTTTGATTTTATAGATTTATGACAATATTTAATGAATTTAAAGGTTTAATACTCAAAAGAGCAAAAACAAATGTGAAACTTTTAAAAGACGAAATACGTTACAAAAATAAATCGTATAATTTTATACTCGCCAAACTCGCCCATGATGAAAGCCCCGCTCAGCAAAGAAGAAATAACAGTAAGCAAAGCCATACGAGAGCATCGTTTGTCATCGCAGGCGGGCAAAGCGCACCCGGAGTCATAATAGCGAGGTTAAAAAGGTGGCTCTTTGGCGTGCATTGTTCGCCGGTCGCCAGCGTCGCTTTTTAAATTAAAGGCAAAATCGGAAGCGGCCGCGCGTTTTTAATCTCGACGACGGCGGCGGAGGCAACGTGGACGATTTGCCATTCTCTCTCTGCATTACCGCTACCGCCACCATCGTCGTCAAGGTAGCCGCGAGTGTGGGAGCGCAACGAAAGCGCGAAATAACCGACATTGTGTGCTCGCGCGCTGCACAAGAGAAGCGCTGCCAAGAGGTCTCATTAGCAATGCAAAGAGGCTAATAACAGTGAATATGTAGTAATTGGAGATACTCTTGGTGGAGGCGCGCGCGCATAAAAGTAAAACACACAAATCCGTGCGGAAATAAAACCTCAGACGCAATTAATTTCCGGTGGTAGAAGTTTCACAAAGCTTGCCAATTCGAGGAGTAGAACTTTAAAAAGCGATGCAAAGTTCAAACGATAGTTATTATTTTTTAATGCAACGAGACTTTAATTGTTCAACCTATTTGTACTGTTTAATATGTGCATTAATAAAATGGATTAATTACATATTAAAGGAAATTACAAACATTTTTCATCTGGTTAAAATCAGATATTTATATTACTTTGTGCTGTGTTAATGCGCTTGCACGATAAAATATTGCAATTAAAAACGACATTTAAGAATTTTCACGCACCTGCTTGTGCGGCGACCGTTCACCTCGCGAGTTTTTAATTAACGAAAAACCAAATAAAAGTGTATATAAAAGCGCACAGCGTTGGCGCCCGTATTCGTAAAGGCAGGAGGGCAAAGTGCAAACACGCTCGGCCAGCGAGAAACGTAATTAGCACGTTTCATATTTTCGCTAGCAAATTAGGACTGCCGCGCAAGCAAAAGTAATGTCCTTGCCATTCAGGGCGCCGACAGCCAAACAGCCACATTCATCGTGGAGCAAGAACAGGTTGCAAAGTGCAAGATGGGCGGCGAGAGCAAGAGGTCACAACTCATGAAACATGTTGCCTGTTGAGGTCCTGGCTTGGTACAATGTTGTTGTACTTTTTACTTTACGTAAAGCGCGAGTTTGGTTTGCCTCGGGATGCGACAACGAATTTATTTATCCGAGTGCAGACAGTTGGCACAAAAACATCTGTATCGTAAATATTTTCATTTCTATTTTAATTTCGAAGCTTTATTAGCGGCAATCAAGGAAGACGTTAAGTTAAATCCTTAAGTTTTTCCTTAATTTTTGTCGTGTTTGATTAATTTAATCGACATTACGTTAATTTAAAGCTTAAATATTATATAAATATTCTTTCTTCTTTAATATTATGTTCAAGTGTGTCTACATGTACCTGCAATTGACATGTGAATACTTATTGACATTTCTTGTGTTTTTTGTCAATATCTTGACATTTTAATGACATTTTCTTGATTTTTTTAGGTTAAGCAAGCTTTTTTGCATCAACTTCATGCTCATTAGTTCGACATTTCTTTATGTTCTTAGCAAGGCATAGAATAAAATGGTGGAATTAATTTCCGCGCGCGTGCACCACCAGCAAACACAAATCAAACATACAATGGCGCATTTCCTTTGCTTGCTGGTGGGGCAATTAAGCAATAAAGCTAATATACCCGATGCCTCGAAGCGGCGTTCAATGCAAATATGTATTTTTAGCAAAAAAGTGAGCCACGATCCGACAATGCCAGAAACACAACGTCGCGGCTGCACACAAAAAGCCAGCACACTGCAATGCGCGTATTTTATTAATTAATATTTCGCGTGTTACACGACTTTCACTTCCCTGCCATACGCTCGCAGGTTTTACTATTGTTATCCTTACGTTTCATCCGCGAGCATTACCCGATTTTGTATTGTATAGTTGCGTAAGTGTAACTGTTATTGTCATTACAATCGTGATCGCGACCATGAATGGCTTGATTTTGATAGATAACGTTCGTAAAATTTGCGGAATATGTCCGTAATGGCAAGTGAAGGAAGCAAATTGGTATGTATTGGTATGTCGTGTTGCATTCGCGTTGAGCTTCGCATTCACTTCGGCGTGCAATTTGCCACTGGTATACAAATTTGCGAAACGTGACTACACTGCCGAAAATGAAGAATCAAAGACGCGAGCAGCGCGTGCAGCAAACGGGCCGGCACGAAACGAAGAAATAAAATAAAGCGTAATAGTCTTAGGCATTAAGGGGTAGAAACAGTTGTTTCTCTTCGTCGACGACAAGCTGCACAAGCGCTAGAGCGATGAAGAGTTGAAGCAAGGCGCCGAATGAGCGTCAAGCGTGAGATTAACGGCGACGAACGAACCGTTTCAATCTTACTCCTAACACGCCTGGTATTATTCTTGTGGGTGTATTGAGAGGATTTAATTATTTGTCGAAAATTCCATTTCGACACATAATTTGTTCCGCGTTGTATTGCAGCGCGTTTGTAATTGCATCCGAGAACACTAGATAACAAATTGTTTCTCCAACGTGTTAAGTTCAACAAATTTAAATGAATTAGATTTATTATGCAGTTTGATTTACCTAGTTGTTTGGCCCATGTTGTAGTATGTTGCAATTGGAACAAAATTACGATCGTCGCGATCTGGATCACGAGAGCGCGTTTGCCGTCCATTGAGTGTCGCGAGCTCGCCGCATGACGACCGGCACGAAACTGGCGGCGCGAAATGTTTGGGAAAACTTGCCGCCGCCGCGCTACTGGAAAACTGGCGGCGGCAAGCGCCAATCTCTGAACGGCGCGCGCGCAAACTTCGTACAACTTGTATCGCGTCTACTTGCAATTTACACATTTTATTAGTACACAAACTAATAAAATTTAATAATTTAACAAATTATGATTTATATTTTTGATAAAAATATTTAAAAGTGTTTCTGTCTCTCTAATTCCTATAAGTTGGTCAATAATTAACATCCGAAAGTTTGCTTTCCACGAACTATAATAAAAGGGAAATGAGGGTGTGAATAATTTCACTTTAAAACGCAAGACAATTTGACATCATGTAATTTAAATGTAGGAACCAATTGTCAAGACAATTACCTGGAAAGTTCAGAGAACTTTAAATTAAAATTTATTTTAACATCTTGATTATTAAGTGCGGTTCTGGTTCCTGGTAAAACACCTAAAATATTTATCTGAGCGTGTAAAATATTCAGCCATCTTACTTGTGACTCACAACTTTCACGGTCTTCCTTTATATTTAGCCAAAGACGCAATATAGCATAATTCAATTAATTAGCGAAAATTCCAAGCTACTAATTTCGCAGCAGCGTTCGTTGTAGTATAATTCATCAACTAACCACCAAGAAAACTTAATGAGGTAAATTTGAAACAAATTTGCTTCTAATTTAGTCACAACCTAAATAATTGTAGTTTTAGTTGGTTGAACAAATTGTTTAATATTTATAAACTTTAACATAGACATCAAAAGTGATAATTAGGTAATTATAATTTAACACTTATAATTAATTCATTTCGTGTTAATTTTTTTAGTTTTAGTTTTAATATTTTGATGTGTTTCTGAATCGGTTCCTGTCTTGATGGTGAGTTGAAATCGCTGGTCCGGGGTAAGCACCCCGATCGAATTTTCCTCTCGCTAGAGACCAGACGCGCCCTCCCTCGGCAGTTTTCCGGCAATACGCAATAGATGGTGCGCCTGCATCGTTCCGCTGGAATTTTCATACCACGCCGCACTCAATTTAAATTAATATCAAATTTCCTACTGAAGTGCGTTGTTAAAATCCACTTCACAATTCAACAATATCCGTGTATATTTTGCACGCGCACAAATGTTTCAATAATTAATGAAGCGCGCATCGCTGTGTATGATGGTGTATTTGTTTGTTTCTACCTTTATTCTTGAATGATTAATGAATCACGCATCGGAAAAAATGAATTGCGTATCTGCCCAGTTATATTTTTTCTCGTTGAGGTTTTGAATAACACGTAACAAAAATGGAATATTCATATTTATTATTTTTCAAATGTAAATTAAAATTCATATTTTATTGGTTATAATTCTTGTAGGCATGCAATAACTATGATATAAATAACCATGGCAACGTCGTCATATCTGCATCACAAACTCTGAGCTGATTATAAACGAGAGACGCGCTCGGCTGCGAGAGAATCGCGTCTATAAGGATTAACTAAAATTGGCATTATTACGGCTCATTGTCATGTAAATGCGAAAACGAAAACATTTTTCCCACACCATGCAGCAAATCGAGCGATTTCTAACGCTCGCGCATGTGAGGATACGGATTATTCTAATGGCCTTACATTTAATCCCTTTCAATGATCATCATTTTTCACACTCATTCACAAGTAAAGTATTTTTTTTAATATAGATTAACTTTTTTTTACTCGATATAAATCTATTTATGTTTGTCGGTATTTTGATTATGAACGTTGATATTGTGAGTTTTCGACTTTTCGACAAAAGACTCCATTGGTCCCCTATTGTTTGGAATCATATTATTTTATCCTATACAGTTAAGCCTTAAATCATTTGGACTTTTGTTGTCTTCGCTAGTAACCGACCTACAAATAGGTTGTAAAGCTCCACTCGTCCGCACGGAACGTGGAGAAAACATCGCGAAAATAAAGACAGGACGAACAAATAATTTAGTACAAGAATGCCCTCCTGCCGAGCACAACAAATGAAATTACGTTCGAATGCTTTGCAAAATAAAGATGCAAATTTCATAATTAATTTAAATAACACATTAAGTAAATTATGAAACTATAAAGAACCAAATTTAAAATCGGTGTAAATTTGCAGGTTATGATCAGGTACCTATCACGTTTGTTAGCGATAATGTCGTTTTAGTCCCGCGCCTAGGAACGCCGGTTTTATCACACGGGGCAAACGCACATCTTGCATACTAATATCACCATTACTATATTGTCTGCACATAAGTATTAAAGTAATATCAGCCGTTAAACTCGACTGGCTCTTTTCGCGTGGAAATTTTATGAGGCCGATGTACACTCTGGTGTTTCAGGCCGTCACACGTGGATGCAAGCGGAGGCTGCATGTTTTCTCTGGCTCATGCTGCGCCAGTTGTCTAGGAATCTTGATATGTAAATGCACGTGTTGGTTTAACTCTCAACTCGCTTCAAAGTATGGCTGCGCGGAGGAACTTGGCGTTTATGTGAAGTGGAAATTTTAGTCTGTTTTGTTCTTGCAACAAGATCCACTGAAAATATTCCGCCTTGATGGCGTCTTTAAGATGCCAGAAGGTGGTGGCTAAACTAATGTAGCACAAATTTGATTTAAATATAAATTTTACAACGTTTCGTCCTATAAACTATCATTTTATAACATCCATTAGATTTAGGACTCGTTCCTCAGGAACTGCACTTGAATTAATTGTTTTAGCAGGTGAAATATTTGCACCGTGGGTACATTATTTCGAAAGCAATTAATCAAGGTAAGTTATCAGTATTAACCTCTAAATTTCATCTCGGGGCTTCAAAATGAACATGATGCATTAATGTTGAATCCTTTGCGCAATTTTCAACCTCAAAATATTATGAGATATTAGTTATACACTTTTGAATCAAAATTAAATTAATTACGTGTTAATTTAAACTTGCAATCTAACCATATTTGAAAATTAAATACCAACAACTTCTGAACCAGAAAATATAAACGAAACCAAACCAAACAATTTAACTTGTTCTCATGCGAAAACATACCGCGCATATGTACAAATTATTTACTGGTATATTAATCGCTAATTCTCATATGAAAAGTGCAAATTATAATTATTTGCACTTTCTGGAAGCGTGTGGATTCACTACAAAACTTTTGGATGCACATACTTTGTGCAGAGAATTTCCGGAAAGTTGTTTGTTTGAGTGGATAAGAGTCATGGGTCTATGGGAAGTACTCGTATTCAAAAGAGGAAAGCGTCGACGAGCAACGAGCTTTCGCAACGACTGCACAATTTTAAAACGCATGCATTAGTAATGTCCCAGACTCATAATACACACGTGGTTTCCTGAATGTTTGATGACTGAGTCTCAGATTTTATTAGCAGCCACTTTGCATAGGTTTACAACATTAATTGAAACTTTGATGTTATTTCCTAACTAATTGTTTGCGTTTGTTTTAAAAGTTTAAGTTTAATTACATAATGAAAGAATTAAATCCACAAAAATTTATTTTCGTCTTTTATTTACAATTTTATTATGTATGTTGATTAAGTTTATAGTTATTTGTTTGCAAAAACAAAGTTGTTCAAAATTTTGTCACAAATATTGATTTGACCAGATTACGCAATTATATTCTTAAGAAGTCAGCTTCTTAAGCAGATCAACTTTCCTTTCAGCATTAATCTGGATGATCCCAGAGCCGGGATTTGGCGACCCTTATTTAATTGTCTTCTCCGATTCCACCTCCCGGCTTTGGCGCGCATCCGATATATACCTTTATATATACTATATATATATATAAACCTGACGTAAGTATATTCAAGTTATCATTTCTGAGGATTCAATTTCCCGCTCGTCCCCGGACGACTCCACAGCGCGTGCATTATAGAATTCACTTGAATAAGAAATAATCGCAGCCGAGGAAACGATGAGGAGGAAAAAATAAGAGAAATGAACAAGAAGCGTAATGAAAGCGGCACAGAACAAAAACTCGTTGGACTGGGAATTATGACGTGATGAGGAGAATAAGGAACGAGCGCGGAACAAGGAGGTTTGAATCGAACGGCGAAATCAATATCGAAATGACGAAAAGACAAAACGCACGAACGTAAATTGTGTTTGCTTGCAATTGTACTGACAAGGTTTGAATGTGACGAAGGGTGAATCGCCGAATCGACAGATTCTGAAGGTTTATAGTTAGTTTGACTAGCGCACATGTGTGCTCTTATCAGCATACAGGAATATACTGCTCATTATAATAAAGATATGTACTTGGTTTTAGAGTGTTTTGCAAATAAATCATATTCTAAATATTTTATTAACAAAATGAATTAATCGTTTGATTTAAGCGCTGTAGAAATAATAAATTGAATTGTTTTATTAAATCTTAAGACAGATGGTATATTTCAGGTGATATTATGCTGATATCTGAAACAATTTGATTCCAAACGTCAAGCTAGTTATCGCCTAGGCTTCAAACTCGACAGAGCAACGCGCCGGCATTGTCTGAATGTCTTTCAGGCACTGAGTGTCAAAGCCGCGCTTTTGTTTCGCGTCTCAAAGGTGTTTCGGCATGTCATGTCGCGCGCTGGCGAGAATTTACATGTATAGGCTGAGAATTCTCAACGCGCTGCCGCTTTAGAAGCGCGGTTAACGAAAATAATAGCCGCCCGCTGAAATCGGGTTCACATTCCGATGCTGAGCACCGCCGCGCCGCCACTTGCAACAAGCCACACCATTGTAACCCGTTCGTGAGGCTTACGCCACAGACTGTGCATCGACACACACAATGACACAATAAGCGCGAAGAAGCCGAAGCGCGAGCCGCCCGCTGACAGCCGGTGGCTTACAACGGACTTATCAAGCTATTCACGGCTTTCCAGCTTCGCAGCCGGCGCGCCGCCGCCCAAGACGTTTTCGCGCCGCAGAAGCAACGACCCGTTTATTCTATTATCATTCAAATATTACGGCATTTAAATTTACCCTCGG